GCAGGTTTGTACTTACATTCAATCAAAATCAATATCTGTTCCCATGAAGTCTTCATATTAATACACCAGAACATATATGTATAATAGTTCGTCTATGTTGGTTCGATGATGAATTTTTAAAAAAGAACTTTAAAAGAATTTTTTTTTTGCTGCATCTAGATTGATTTTCAATTATTTATGAAAAAAAAACAACTGTAGGCTAGACAATTATTCATATCTAAGGATTCAAAACGAATATTTGATTTTGTAAATTTGTTTTTCAAACATAAATAAATAATCTTGTTCAGGTATAGAGATTTCCGAGAGACAGATGGGAACCATACCATGTTTTATTGGAAGTTGTTAGCAGTTCGCCTTGCATTTGTTATAGTATTTGAGGTAAGTGGTTGTCATTGTGATTTGTTACTTTGTGATTCCCTGTTTCATTGTCATGGCGGCACAAAAGGGAAATAACTCAGCAGTAAACATCTTTCTCCAGGTTTTTCAGTGCCTACTATTTAGCTCAGCTTTGTGTTTCTTCTCTTCGTTATTTCCCACATTCTTTCCCTCCCATTTTGTGTTTCCATCCTTCCTTCTTTTTTCTCCTTTTTCTTTTCAGGCGTGTAAAAAAAAAAATGATTGTAATGGGAAAGATAAAGGCACACTCCTCGTTCCATATGCTAGGTCAAATTTGTACAAATGCTCCTTCTTCACTAGTGCTATTAGAGCATGGAATGGGTTGCCTGAGCCAGCCAGGAAAACCAGTGACTTGGCAGAATTTAAGTCATTGGTTAACATGCATGACTAAATGCATAAATGCATAAGAAGTAATCATCTTCTTTATGAAGTAATGTCTGTATTATATAAGATAAGAAGTCTTAGTACTTGGTCTAAATATAAATGTTAATATACTTACAGCTAAAGATTAAATAAATTAAGGTCTAGTTAGACCTCAACTCTAGCACCAAGTGAACACAAGAAATAAAATAAATGTTTCTTTATCTCTCTAGCTTATAGTCAGGACACAATATGACGTCTTTATTCCTTTTTTTGTTACATTTGAGCCATTTCTCTATCTTACAAGGATCTGTCAAAATTTGAACTAAGGATAAGATAAAAGTATTAAGTCTTATTAAGCAGAACTAACTGAATTTCTCTTGTTTCAGCATGTTGTGTTTGGTATATGTAAGATGATAGACATCATGGTGCCAGATATTCCTGAAGCCCTGGAACAGAAGATTAAAAGGGAAAGATATCTTGCCAAGCAGGCATTGGCAGACACAGACACTATACTCATGGTAAGAAATTGTGAACTATAGTTTCTGTTGTGTTAACATATTTGAAACTTGAATTATTGTTTATGTTTGCCAATTTCTGATTGGACAATAGTCAGGACTGATGTGCTGATGATGTCCATTCAGTAAAATGTTTTCTGTTTTTTTTCTTGTCTGATTTTTTCCTCACATTCTGTAACTATCATGTTGAACAAATAAAATCTAATCAATATTCAAATACACTAATTATTGTTAATACAAATATAATTTTTTTATAACTGACCATGTATTAAGGAGAAGACCCCATTCGAAATACAATTTTGACTTTAATTTAAACTTTATCTAGCCATACACAGTCACATTCACTTTCATTTGGTCTGTACTTTTTACTTAAAAAATATGTTGTTAAATATTTGACTTCACTTGGATGAAAATACTTGTCAGGACATCAGTATTAGTAGTTATTATGAGACTGCACTAAAATAAGTATTCTTATATTTTATTTGGGGGCCAATAACAATCATGCATTATCATGAAATCCTGCCATGTGACAATGACATATCAAACAGAAACAATAAGAACATAAGGCATTGTTTTTTATTCCCAATAATATATCTTTATTATCAGTGAGGTAATTTGTTTTACAATTGTGCATTACAAAAAACAATACATGATTAGAACAAACATTTGTACAATAGCACACAAGATATATGTTCATACCCCAGTTTCTCTTTAATTAAGTATTCATCCAATATATTTTATCACATCTTAAGCAGATTAATTGCTTAATTTACTTAGAGAAAAAAATTACATAAATGTTCATAAATCTTTTTTTTTCTCCAGTAAATCATTCACAACCCTGCTCCAATAAAAAAATATCTTTTTGTACAAAAATAACAGTTAATTATCAAAGTATTTGTTTTGAAATGAATAATTCTTTTTTTTTCTGATGTTTCCAGCAACTTTTTGTAAGTACTAGCATGTCCATAGCAACTAAGCATGGCTAATTATGTCTTAGAGCTTAGGAAATGATAATGCAGGCACTAGAATGGACTTCACAAATGTTTTAGTCACATGATAGTCTTGTGTAATTAGATTACTACTTTGCTTTTTCCCTTTTTATTTTATTCTTAAAGTAGCAATTCTGCTCTCTACGACTCTGTTTCTCTGTTTAGATTAGCTACCTCTCATTCATATGATTTATCATTTTTCTTTAGGACTGAAACACATCTACAATCATGAAGGCAAATGAAGCTCAGTCCTGATCAGCCTGATTAAAGTTTATGTTTGTTAGCTTACAGTATTATCTTCTAGTTTAGACTATACACTGTTCATCAAATGATTTGGCTCCCTCCCCCTCCCTTTCTTTTTTCTGTGTTGATCTACAAATGCCCTTACTTTTTGTAGATTTTAAACTACTGATCCCATAAGTTAAAATTCAGGTTGAAATATATCTTTCTAACCCTACATTTTTGTACATTAGTATTATTTCAATCAAAATGAACTAGCAGCAGGTTTTTGTGCCAATGCATTAGAAAGAGTTTATGTAAATCTATTTCCCCATTAGATTTCAAAACACGGAATCTGCATCATAAAGCCCTAACCTTTTAAAATATTATTTACTATTATTATTACTGGTTGTTCTAAAACTTTATCTTTAAAATTGTATTTAAACCTTATTGTTCTAATGACTAAGTTCTTTCTCAGGTTCTCAAACGAGCATTATTATACTAATTACTCTCAAGGTGTATAAAGAGCTTCATTTCAACAAATAGGAATAAACTATTTTCAGACTTGTACAACCTTTGTATATGCTGCTTTCACTTGAAACATTCACTGCACCATCTTTTACATAAAATACTTTATTTCTTGACACCAACATAAACAGCCATCACAAAACCTCCATTTTTACAGCTTCTCCACACATTGCCCGCTTCCCAAATGCACACACAATCATTACATCTGAGTCTAATGCTAAGTTTGTATTTTCTATGATATAATAAAAAGAATTTTAAATATCCAATAATAACAGTCTATTATGTATGCTTAGACAAATTCTACATGTATAAAAAGATTCTACTACTTAGTTCAAATATATTCACCTTTTCTTTAATAAGAATAAATTCTTCACCTAAACATTTATGTATCTACATTAAAAGAATAATTTGTCATCAGTGAATATCTTCTTACATTCTAAATTCAACAGAAGTACTAATGTGTGTTCATTTAAAGACATGATGAAAATCTGAAATGAGCTCTACATATTTTCTTTTCTTGATTGGTGATTGTGCATTCCTTGCTTAGCAATTTATTTGTCTTTAACTTAATGTTTAAATTTAAAGACTTCTCAATGAAAACAAACAATAACTACAGTAAATTTAATTTTGAAAAATGTTTAATGTGTAAATTTTAAATAATGATCATGTGTGACAGCATTTTTTTCTTTATATCATGAGCAGATCTACTCAAGAGTAGCTTAACACTTTTATAGGTGGACAAACACAATAGTCCCAATGAGGTCATCAATTGCTTAACCTGTATTTTCTTGTCCCTTGTTACTATCATGTCTCTCAACCATCTAAGCCAGTGTTTCCCAAACTGTGTTCCGCGTCACCCTAGTGTTCCATGAGACCTAAATAGAATTTCCATGAATTACTACTAGTAGACCACCACATGAATTAATCTCTCTAAAAAAAATAAGCAAAATATTCCACTAAATACTCAGAATGTGTGAAGTGTTAAGGAAACCATTTGGGAAACACTGATCTAAGCAAAACAGAACTGTGTTGAAACTAAACATTTTGTCCCGGCTGTTTTTAGATCATATCCTCAACTGTGTGTCTTTCTTTTCATCCAATAGATGGCAAGAAGAAATGAAGGAGATGAGGAAGACAACATAGATTTCAACGCAGCACCATCATCACAGTCAAAGGCATCAAATGCTTAATTACAACTTCATTCATTTCAATAACTCTGCTCCTAACAGGCATGGAGATGTTCCCTATTTATATGAACAAGGCTATTACAAATAGATTTTGTCATCTTTTATAAAAATTGATCAACTTTTTATATTTTCTTGTTTTTCTTTCTGGATTTTTATGAATCATTTTAGTATTTGCTACACATTAACGTCTGGACCAGTTTCATTTGTAGTTATTACTTTGGCTAAATAAATCAGAAGTTTTCCCACATGTCCACTAACAAAACATCATCTCACATTTATCTTGAGGTTTTGTAATTCTAGTATTTCAGGTATTATATTCACATTAGTTTGGATGTGTCTAGAATTATATGACTTAAGCTGCTGACCAAGGGGAGAGAAGAACATTGACAATCATTCTATATTATTTGCTAATATTTTACCTAATATATATTACAAATGAAAAAAAGGCCAATAAAATTATTTTGTTAAGGATGTTTTAAAGAGTAAAAGTATCAACAAAGTTGATTTTTTTTGTGATAAAAAAAAATTGATGCATGTTTTATATCCTTCCTTTTGTGAGGTAAACAATAAAAAGATAAATAAAAAAAATATCTGTACATTCGACAGGTCATCTAATTCATTCATAATGAAATTATATTCTGTAACGTATTCTTATGATCAGGAATATGTGATTAATTTTTTCTGACATTCTTAGACAAATTTTAGAAAGATTTGTTGAGGAAAGATATAAAAAAAACACGTTCAATGTTAAAATTATTCTTCAAATTATTACTTTTTTTTTCTCTTTCAAATGTATATATAAATATATATATATATCTATCTATATATATATATATGTTTTTTCTTTTGTTTTTTTTTACTTGCTCATAACTGTTATTGTACAAATGTTGACAATTTAATCCTCTATTTATCTGTGATTCATACCATTCCTCAGCTGTCTCATTACCTGTTTTCTATCTACTGTTTTATTTATTTTGTATGTGATGTTTATGTTTCAATTTAATATGCGGGGCCAGCTAAACCCTCAGCAAATTTTCCTGTTTAACATTCTGATAGCATGAGAATTTTAAATTTTGTTTCTTTTGTATATATTATATTGTATTTATTAATTTCTGGCTTTATGTATATATTTATCTGTTCTTAGATGACTGCACACAAATTATCTTGTATAGTTTTATTGACTCTATTAAATATTTCAACTTGCAGCCTTCTCTTACCCAACACCCTTTTTCACTTGTATTCAATTTTTTATGTGATATTATATATAATCCATGTATATTTTTCCAAACTATTAGTGTTATCTAAACAGTGCAAGTTGCTGATGCCATTTTTCTTCATGTTTGAATATATACATTCTCAAAGCCACCAATTATCTTGCATTTTATTGCAGTTTAAATAGATCATGCATTTAATAACTTGTGGGGGAATTATCTGATATGCTAGTAGCAGTGATAACACTAAGCTCTTATGTATATATATATTATTCTCTTCATGGCTCAACAGTTTGGACACTGAGAAGTAAAGAAAAGATCACTTTTATTTCGGACGAAAAAAAAAAAAGAGGAGGGGGGTGAACAAGTAGTATTTAGCTGTCACTAAATAGCAGGGCTGGACTTTGCCATTGTGACCAAGAAGTCATGGAAAGATCACTCTTTTATTTATTTCTACCCCAAATAACTTAAGCAGCGAAAAAAAAGAGCGGGGGGAGAACAAGTAATCTACTCTGTATTCAGCCATCACTAAATAGCAGGGCCAGAATCAACTGTTGTGGGGCCCTATGGGAAACGGATTTCACGGGTTCAAGTTTGGGAAGGGATACGGATAATAAGTGAAAATTAAGAGTTTGTTAATAAATTTGTCTTTGCATTTTATTCATTATTTACTACATACAGAATTACTTTACGAGCCTTGCATGTATCGAAGTCATACAGTATATCATAATAATTCTGTTACCTACATAGATCACGGTCAATAGCAAGAATCACCAAATGTTTCAATCTATCTACAAGAATTGTTGACCTCAAGTAATACTTCATTAGTTTGAGACTCGAGAAGCTTTTTTCACCAGATTCCACAATTATGGGTATTGCATAATGCCAGGTTTTTTTTTATCACGCCTAGAAGTGGCATTTTCCATATGGAATGACACCCCAAAATGACAATTTTTGTCTATAGATTTCAGGAGATTTGTACGAGTTTTCAAAAGATTTAATAATTTCCAGATATTTCCAGGACTTTTTCGTATATTTTACAATTTCAGGAGATTTCCAGGAGCTCCTGGTAAATCGACAGGAGGCAGCGGGAAATCTGTTATAAGTTATAAAATGATTTAATTTAATAATTTACACCTAGAATTAGCGCGGGTCCTATGAAAATGCGTGGACAACTGCGGTTGTATAGGTTGCAGTGGCCTAAGGCAAAAATAGCGGCGTATGGGTCGACTAGTTATTTTATACATGACTTCAATACTAAAATGTATTTACAAATTGGAAAAAAAAAACAACAAGAAAAGGTATTATACTAGTACAACTGTGTTTTTGTTTCTTATCTTCAATTCTGGTCCCAAGAAGATAGGAAATAAAATATTGCTAGAGATTGATGCAGACTATGAAACCTATTTGTCCATCATGATAATGTGTTAAAAATGTTTAGCATGTTTGTGGAAATCATGAAGTAAAATTGAGTGAGAGACAATAAATAGTATTACTTTTTAGTTATGGATTTTAAATCTCTACAAAAATACATAAACAAAAGGAAAGCTCATTGTTTGATAGTATATTCATCCTGAATATATATATATTGTTATGACCCTATTGGCGGCGCAAAAGGGTTAACTATAGGCTCAGTTGACACACACGAGAATCACTCAGGTCAGCGGGGGCCATGGACAAGGGACAGTACTACGATTACATGATTACACGCAAATATGACCAATGTTATGGTCATGTGATCGAAAGCCTGCGTGTACGAGTGACACAGTGGATAGAAAAGCGGGAGTTCAAGACCGGAGAGCGTCGAGACCAGCACAGTTAGTCGCCATGAAATCGGTCCTGGTTGAGTCCTGATGTGTTGATGTACAAGTCCAGAAAGAGAGACAGCAGAGTTCTTTAAGTTGGTGATGTACAGAGTGACATTTTAGTTGTTGATGTGTTTGACGCCAATTGTCTAGTATTGGCTGTTATCTACTTATTCACTCATTATTAAAGTACCAGATTATTTGGAGCCTTGTTGTCAAGTTCTTGATGTGTTGATGTATGGTGTTGTGTTTAGCAGTGTTTACAGAAGGTCAGAAAGGAGGGAGAATCGTAACATTGGCGTCAGAAGTGGGATCCTTTCTGGCTGAAATGTCTTCGAAGAAACTACTTAACCAGTTGTTGGTCAAAGAATTAAGGCAAGAACTTCGCGAGAGAGGTCTGCAGCTCAACGGTAACAAAGAAACACTAACAGAACGCCTAAGACAGGCCCTTATTGAGGAAGATCAAGATCCAGATGAATACATATTTGAATTAAACCCAGATATGACAGAGATCCTGAGTAACATGCAGGGCCAGATGGACTTAATGAAAGAGAGCCTCAAGAAAATAAACGCCATGAATGAAAAAGTAAATGAACAGATGAGCTCTATGAACGAGAAGATTGACCAGAGAGTCAACACTGTGGAAAAAGAAATGGAAGAGATAAGGACTCATGTCCAAGAACAACTGAGCAAGGAACGGGGTACTAGAACAAAAACATTAGTGCCCGAAATCTCTGTGAAGATAAAGCCGCCTGTGTTTGATGGATCCATGTCATGGACTGTTTACAAAAGACAGTTTGAGGCAGCGGCCAAGGTTAATAACTGGAACACTGAAGAAGAGAAAGCGACTGCTCTGGTGTTGGCTTTAAGAGGGAAGGCAGCAGAACTGCTCCAGTCAATGACAAATCAACAAGATTACGCTGCCATTGTTAAGGCTATGGAGCTCCGTTACGGAGACGAACATTTACAAGAAGTTTATAGAGTTCAGTTGAAAACCCGACAACAACGCCCCGGTGAAACCTTGCAAGAGCTAGAGGCGGACATAGAACGTCTTGCTCATTTGGCATATCCAACAGCAGCACAAGACTTTCTGGACGTCGTTATCACTGATGCATTCATTGATGCTATTCGAGATCCAGAACTGAAGAAGGCAATAAGAATCAGTGGTAAGCGCAAATCCAGCGAAGCCCTGGTCTACGCCCTTTCCTATGAAGCCGCCAAAGACGCCTCTAAGAATATCCATCATGGGCGTATGCTGGAAGTCCAAGAAGAAGATCTTACACAACTTCTCAGAAGGGTAACTGAAGTGCTAGAAGAACGCAGACCAAATAAGAAGCAAGAAGGACGGAATAGAACCAGTGTACGTTGTTGGAATTGTGGAGAACCTGGACATCTACAAAGGAACTGCACGAGAAGATTTCCCCGACAAACAGAGTATCAGCACAGACCGGAGACAGATGCAGGGTCAGGTGCTCATGTCTACCAGGGAAACTAACTTTCGCCGGTTTTATGGGGCAAAAATCGGCGACCAAGAACATGACAGCCCCTGCAACTATAATTCCAGTCGCTGTGTTAGGGAAGGAATTTGAAACTAAGCACCGAAAAGGGCAAATTCACCAAAATGCTGATACACTGTCTCGACGACCCTGCAAATCAGAATGTAAGCACTGCAAGAAGGCTGAAGAACAGGAGGTAGCTATCAATTGTCATCGGCTCGGAATAGATGTTTCCGGACCCTGGTGTGATAAAAGGATTCGAGAGGATCAAATGCAAGATGAAGATCTGGCTCCCATTCTTCTATGGAAAGAAGATGGACAACGGCCAGATTGGAAAGACATCTCTGAGAAGGGGGTAGCCACCAAGGCGTACTGGGCTCAGTGGGACTCGCTGACGTTGGTCAATGGTGTCATCAAAAGGGTTTGGGAATCTGCTGATGGAACATCCAAACGCCTTCAGCTGATGTTACCGAAGGTGAGAGTTGCTGAAGTACTGAAAGAGATGCATAATGGCGCTAGCGGATCTCATCTTGGTGTCAATAAGACTCTGGAAAAGGTTCGTCAGCGGTTCTACTGGTTCAGATATAGAGAGGATGTAGAGGAATGGTGTCGAAGGTGCGACATATGTGCGGCAGCAAAAGGCCCTCGACGCAAAACTAGGGGTCTTTTGCAACAGTATAATGTTGGTGTTCCATTCGAGAGGATCGCAATAGATGTAGCAGGCCCATTTCCTGAAACCAAGAAAGGAAACAAATACATCTTGGTAGTCATTGACTATTTCAGCAAATGGCCAGAAGCTTATGCCATACCAAATCAAGAAGCTATCACAGTGGCCGAAACACTCGTGGATAACTGGATCAGTCGCTTTGGTGTACCTAACGAGTTGCACTCTGACCAGGGAAGGAACTTCGAGTCCAAAGTTTTCCAGGAGATGTGCAAGACACTTGGCATCGAAAAGACTCACACGACAGCTCTCCATCCGCAATCGGATGGGATGGTAGAGCGATTCAACAGAACCCTAGAACAACATCTGTCTAAGGTTACTGATGACCGACAAGACGACTGGGACACCCATATCCCCATGTTCCTCATGTCATACAGAGGATCCGTTCATAGCACCACAGGATATGCCCCAGCGAAGATGTTATTTGGTCGTGAGCTTCGTCTACCATGTGACCTGTTATTTGGGATTCCGAGAGATACGCCAGTGTCTTCAACTGAATATGTCACCAATCTCCGAAGACGATTGGAGAATGCTCATGTATTGGCCCGCAGAAACATCAAGACCAACAGTGACCTGATGAAAACAAGGTATGACAGACGGGCCAATACGTCGGGGTTCCATGAGAATGATCTAGTGTGGCTCTATAACCCACAGAGACGAAAAGGCAGATCCCCGAAACTCCAAAGAGACTGGGAAGGTCCATACCGTGTCGTAAAAAGAATAAACGACGTGGTCTACCGGATACAGAAAAGTCCACGGTCCAAACTGAAGGTTGTCCACGTTGATCGACTCCATCAGTACCGTGGTGAAATAGAATCTGTTCGGGACGAACAGATCTAAGAAGGGGGCAGTGTTATGACCCTATTGGCGGCGCAAAAGGGTTAACTATAGGCTCAGTTGACACACACGAGAATCACTCAGGTCAGCGGGGGCCATGGACAAGGGACAGTACTACGATTACATGATTACACGCAAATATGACCAATGTTATGGTCATGTGATCGAAAGCCTGCGTGTACGAGTGACACAGTGGATAGAAAAGCGGGAGTTCAAGACCGGAGAGCGTCGAGACCAGCACAGTTAGTCGCCATGAAATCGGTCCTGGTTGAGTCCTGATGTGTTGATGTACAAGTCCAGAAAGAGAGACAGCAGAGTTCTTTAAGTTGGTGATGTACAGAGTGACATTTTAGTTGTTGATGTGTTTGACGCCAATTGTCTAGTATTGGCTGTTATCTACTTATTCACTCATTATTAAAGTACCAGATTATTTGGAGCCTTGTTGTCAAGTTCTTGATGTGTTGATGTATGGTGTTGTGTTTAGCAGTGTTTACAGAAGGTCAGAAAGGAGGGAGAATCGTAACAATATGAATACTTTCAGATATTGCTTTAGCCACTTTCTATAGGTTGGCTGGACAAGTGTTAGTTGATTGGCCTTGAAAGCAAGTTCAATTTTACCTGCTAGTAATGATTGAAAGAATACTTTATTGCTTTAAGAGAACTAGACCCCACATGTTAACCCTCAAAGTGCTGAGCTGTATTACAATGAGTGCATAGAAAATGGAATTACTATTTTGATGTTTAGAGGCTAAAACTACCACACGCGTTTTAAGGGTTAAATTTAAAATTATCTCAACAAACAGCTAAAATGAGATGAAAAGATGTTTTAGTTTTTCAAGAGAACTAGTTGCTATTTCCAAAGCCTGAAAACTATATTTGCTTTTGATAAGATTATATGTCAATATGTGTTGTTAAACTGAGGACTTTAGTTCACATACAACTCATACATTTTAGAGTGGGTGTGGCATAAAAATCTACCACATTTTGGAGTGGGTGTGGCATAAAGATATACCACATTTTGGAGTGGGTGTGGCATAAAGATATACCACATTTTGGAGTGAGTGTGGCATAAAGATCTACCACATTTTAGAGTGGGTGTGTCATAAAGATCTACCACATTTTGGAGTGGGTGTGGCATAAAGATATACCACATTTTGGAGTGGGCACTGTATCCGAGCTGTAGTGGTAGTAGAGAGGCAGAACAGGTCTCACTCAGTAGGCAAGAATCTACCACAATTATTATAACAATCTCTTTCTTTTTCACAACCCATTATGAATTAGACTGGTGCTATAACGGAAGCATATGATATAAACAGCATATCTGTAGGGCATCTTTGTGCTCAGTTGAAATGCATCAGACCCGAAAATTGGTTCTTAAAACCCATTAAAACAAAAAACTGTTTTTTTTTAATGTACTTTTTATAAATATTTTATCTTTGTTTAGATAGTTGGGTTACTTTGGTAGATTCATTCAAAAAGTCAGAGATCTTTATAGCCCACCCTGTATAGACATACAAGATTACCCTTGTGAATAACAATAACTTTGTGGCTTAAGTTTCAATTAATCCATTTCTTTTGTGTCATGTAAATGGTTTTGAACCTTGATTTACTTGTGGTAAGACCTTTTTAATGTATGTCTAAATTTTAGGGTATAGCTTACTTATGTGCAAGGGGAAATTCATAAGTGATTAAGCTAGTATCGTATTTAAAGTTATATGAAGGGTTTTAGCCTCATTTTACCTTAGGCCTTCTCTACAGGTCTCAGAAGGGACTTTCTCCTTTCCTTCCTAACTAAACAGCCTTATGAACAAGTGTTTTGTGACCTAATGCATTCATCATATTTTTTCAATCTGGTTGTTAATAGCTGATTTGAATGCTTTACATTGTCAAATCTTGTGAACTTGTAAGTCAGAAATAAAACAGACTTTTTCTATAACAAGGAAACTGAATCATGGATTGTGAGTCCCAAATTTACAAAACACATGAACATTTTTGTACACACAATTTTCCTTATGATTTTGTTTTTATGGGATTGCTTTGTGTTACAATATCTTCCAGACAGCCCTAATGAAAATTTTCAGCCCCCCCCCCCCCCCCCCATATATATAAGTGAAAACGGCTAATTTACTTACTAGTACCTTTCTTATATGTGACATATTCCTTAAATATACAGTGACCATTATGCTAAAGCCACAAATGTCTACATATCTATAAACTAAGAATAAAAGTAATTATAAAGTAGCTAATAATTGATAATAATAGTGTACTAAATCTATCTTATTTAAAAAGGAAAGTATAGAAGCTATGTTTATCTTCCATTTTTAAATTGGGAAATTGAATTAAGCATCGAAAACAAAGTTCTGCATAGAGCTATGAACCCTACTTCTTATCACTTGCATTTGTAATCTACAATTATAATTATTATATTTATTGAATCTGTAATAAACTAATTTCAAACCTTTGTTATGTTTCATTATAAACCTTGTTATGCTAATTGGTATAAATAAATTTTTGAGCTATATCTGAAAATGATTATGTTGTTTTTGTTTTATTGTGACTACGAAATATGTAATGTGATCATGTAATTAAAACAAAATAAGGAAATGCAATATCTCAGAATTGCATCATCTCAATAATCCCCCAGTTCTAACCATGCCAGGAACAATCCACACAGAGTTTTGAACTAGCATTTAATAATTTAACCCATCCCCTGCTATCCAAAAGGAGGTTAGGGCTGAGACGTAATGTAATCTTTAATTATGAAGGAACATTCGAAACAAGTCAAAGTAAAGTTGTTCCCCCCCCCCCCTTTTAGACCATACGGTCTATAAGGTAGATGATTTACAGGTCATCTGTTTCTGTGGCCCACTGTTAACAAGGGTGTCATATGGCCAGCACAATGACCAAACGCCAAACTAAAATTAATGTAACAGCTCATGTTAATTCTGTCTGGAAGTGGCTGAGCATTGAATTTCAAGGTTCAAAAAAATAATATTTGAACTTAAGAAAATAAGGAAAAAAAATCCTTTTTTTCTTTCAGTGTTTACTAAATGTAGCACCTTGCTCATTTGAAATGCAAGAGAAAGTAGAAGTAAAGTATTAAGCTATATATTTGAATTATATACACAATACAATCTCTTAAAATTACATGAAAGACTTTCTTTTTCAATTCAGGCATCACTGGAGGTTACAAAGAAGATGAAAATAATTCAACAAAACTTCAACATGCAAGCTATTGTTACACAGGTGAAATTTCACTTGAAAAAACAAACTATTAACTCTTCCAGTGCAAATTTTCTTGGTTGAAAACAAATGGAGTTTTTCTGGACAAACACAAATCTCCAAGGGAGGTAGAGTTACTAAAACCAACATAACTTTTTTATTTCATTATATAATCTAACTTATTTTTTTTTTTTTAAAGGAAAATGAATTGGCTACAAAAGTGTTATGAATAAAGAAAAATAATTAAAGAAAATATTTTTAAGTTTAAACTGAGCTTGGAAAAAGGAAATGTATAAAAAAAAATTCATAAAAAAATCAATATACTGAAAGATTTAACTTTTAATTATGCATTTAATTTATAAATATTGAAAAATCACAAAAATTTAACACATTTTATTACTTCAAATTTCATAATAGATGAACAAATGAATATTTCAAAATTTAATATTATTTACCTTTTTTTTTTTTTTTGGGTCCTGCGAAATAAACTAAAGAACGAGGAATCACTAACACAATGTTGTCTTTTTTTTTTTTAACCTGTTGTTCCTGCACTCACCAAAGCTAGCAAAGTTACTCCCTGAGAGTAACACTGCACTGAAAGAGTTAAAGATCTCAGTGTCTCAAAACCAAATTTTTGATGCTTTGAAAGCTACAGACTAAATAGTCAGTAGAGTAGCTTTCCAGATAACTCTACCATTTTTCTGTATGCAAATGACAGCCATGAATAAATATAAAAAAAAATAATAATAATAAAAAATTATGCTCATCAGTGTGGAATGTTTCACTTACAACTTCACTGATCCATCTTCTTGAAGACAATATTTAAAAGTGTAACTCTATGTCAAAAAACTTCAGCTCCTTTTTTTAATAACAAAGTAATGACACATAAGCTATTTAATCAACAATCTACAATGCAAGTGTCAAGGCATGATGAGACAATGGCATTAAACCTATTAAGTCACTGGTACAAAGTTATTAGGCAAAACAATTAAGAAGAATTGTCAACTTTCATGTGATAGCATTTTTTTTGTAAGCTGCCAACTTCAGTAGTCAATAAGTAGTAGTACAAATAAATTCAACCCATTGGATCAGCTAAATGAAAATATTTGGAAATATTTTCACAATTAGCATCTTGGTAATTAATGAACAAGAATATTTCTGTTCTAAACATAAGAAATTTTTTTTTTGTCAACCTATGATTTGGAACATAGAAAGAGAGAACTCTATTTTCATCAGTATATGGTTGTAAACAACCCACACACAGAATCTACAAGACTTGGTAATCATTTGATGAATAAGGAATCTTCAATATAGTTTTAACAACAAACAGCCTTCAATATAGTTTTAATTACAAACAGCCTTCAATATAGTTTTAATTACAAACAGGCTTAAATAAAACAGCGCTTACAAAAAATAAAAAGTTAAAATTAGCAGCTGTTTTTTTTTCTCAATTAAGTCAAAGAAAAGAAACATGGTTTAAAACAATATTCTTATAAAAGAAAAGCTTTTTAGGATAATAAAAAAAAAACTGTATCCATAAAAACAATTATATGAAGATAATTTACCATACCCAAAGAATTCAAACCACCATTAAAACTTGTTCAGTGTTTGTATGAGAGGAATGTTACAATGAAGCAGAAATGTTAGTACTAGAAAATCATCAGTCCATTCATTACAAATGGCAAATCTTTAACTAAAGCATTAGTTTGTTGTTGATTTAAACTTAAGCAATTATACAGCAGCTACACAAATCTTTGTTTTTGTTTCTGTGAATAGAAAACTTTTTAATTGATACAATTTTCATTACAACTTTAAAAGTTGTTTATATTTAATTTATTTTTGGGAGGAAAAAAGAAAAAGGAAAATCGAACAGTCTCTACAACTTGGTCAAGAGAAAGGCTGTATTCAATTGCTAAATATTGTGAAACAAATATAATGAAGAAATAGAAAATAAACTTTACAAAGCTATTTCCCTTTATTTTGACCAATTTAAAATTTTAATGTATGTTTATAAAGATTTAAAAATTTATTTAAAAAACAGGAATATGTTCAATGTTTTCAGTGATGATGTTTTAAGATAACAAATCTGTGTACTGTCTAACAATCTTCAGAATATTAACCTTGTAAAGTTGCATTTGTCATTAATTCTCTCCTAGTCAAAATCAGTTCCAATTTTTTTCAACCAGCCAGGACAGTTAAAAAAAAAGTAAAAATCTAAAGGGCTGATGATGTAAAGGTCATCTGTTTGTGTAGCCCACAAGGGTGTCATGTGACCAGCACAAGAACCAACTGACTTTACTTTTCCCCAACTAATGTCAGAGCTGAAGTGGACTCAGAGGCACCCTAAAGATTCTGAAATCCCAGTCTTCACCTGGATTCAAACCCAGGACCCCCAGTTCGGAAGCCAAGTGCTTAACCACTCAGCCACCTCGCCTCTAAAAACAAGGGTATTATAATTCTATTCATGCTACGTATTTTCAACATCAGAAACATAAATATACCATAAAAAAACATTATAAACATTGGTAACAATTTATGGATTTCTTGAAATTATGTTTGTTGAGCTGCCTTTTATTTTACTCAACCTCATGCATGTTAAAATAAGTTTTAACAATAGGCAATGCAGGATAAGTGAAATACCACGAAGACAATGATAAATAATATACCACAAAGGCCATCAAGTGACAGATTGTTCACAATAGGCAATTTGCCAAAACATTGATCTGACATACAATGGTGTGATAAACATGTTTTTAACTATTATTCAAATACCAACTATAATTATCTAAGTTTGCAAAAAAAAAATTTACATTCAATTCCAATGTATGTGCTAGATAAAAAATCTTGTAAAATTTATGGAGAATTATTTTGAGCCTTCTTAGGACACGGTTGAGAAGAAAAATCCTAATTTCCAAGAACTTTTTCTTCTGTGCTGCCAAAACTCTTTAAAGTTAACAAAAACTGGTCAATTTTGTAATGGGGGAATAATACAACTAAGGAATCTTCTTCAATTTTCAAGATTGAGGATGAGTGCAGTATTTCACGTGACCACGCAAACCCAGTTGTGACATGCATTTTTGCCACATATGTGCAGATTCTGCCTGGGAATCTATTTAAGCTTTTTTTTTATCTGCACCTGTCTTCAGCAAAGGGCTTTTCTTTGGGGAGGTAGTACAATAAAATTATAGTCAACAATTCATCATTCAAGGTCTATTTAGTATCTGACTTTTAAAAGAGAGGTTTCAAACCTTTCAAAGAGTTTGATTATGACAGTTACCATGCAGTTTCATCTCAATGTTCATTTATCTAATGTAAGGTCAAACACAGAAACCGCCCCCAACCCCTTAATCTCCAAAATGGTTACAGAAAGAATTAAAAAAACAGCTTTACCTGACTAAGGCATGGACCATAATATTTAGAAACATAATATACATTTTTTTTTAAAGATTGGGATGTGAAATAGTGCAATAATGCATATAAAACCTAAGAATCTACAACACATAGATTCATAATGTTATCGTAGAAAAGACTTTTTGCATAAGTATTGCAACAATTGTTAAGGTCCATATATGGTTCAACATAGAATGGCTCAACAAAACCTGCACAGGCTATAAAGTTTTAATCCATGGTATGGCACTGTGCTAATCGTAAAAATATCAATGCTTTGCATTCCAATTAGATACTTTTTATCATGTGGTAAGGGAGGCTTCCATAAATCAGTCACAGACAATTCGTTCACTTGATAAATAGTTCACCAGTTGTCAAGAAACGAAATATCGGGTGAACAAGTTATCTGAAGATTTTTTCAGTGAACGAATTGTCTGGGAATGATTTGTTGTGTTCCTGTAAGAGAGTTAAAATGGGATCATTTGAAATGAGCTCAATGTAAGACATTCAATCTAATTTAGGAAGCTTCTAAGTTCAATTCACCAGTTCACATAAGTGTTCACATTTAGAGTTACTCAAACTTTTGTTGCATTCAAGATACAATTACTTAATTATAATTTTAGATTTCCCCAATAGATATAAAAACAAATGATTTATGGAAACAATTACAAATAAATATACATTCTTGTGAGAGACCAATATCACAATTTTGAAATTTGGCTACAGTTTAATCTCTTACAGTAATATAACACAGGCACCATACAAATAATTAAAAAAAAGTGAAAATGAGCAATCAAAAAACTAATTTTTGGTTAATATTAATCATGAATGAAAAAAAAATTATTTTGATTTATTTTCATCTGGGTACTTTAACTAAAGTGTTTTATTGAAAATTTTTTATTATATTAAAATTGATGTTTTTCAGCAAAAATATTTTGTTGCATTTTTTTTCAAACTTTTTCATGACCAATGATAAAAAGAAGACAAGAGTATATACACCATTCAACAACAAAATAGAAATTCATTTGTTTTTTCTAAATTTGTCTTTATACTATAAATTAACAAAGTATTAATGTCTGGCTGTATCCATAGAGTTGATACTTGTACCGTAGTTTATATTTGGATTCATGGACCCTGTTATTTCCTCTTCCTCTACGCTGTCATTACCTATAGGTGTATGCATCACTTTTAGATCCTTTTTGGTCGTTCGGATGCCATAGCCAAAATAAATGAAAAAGCCTGAGGGTAACAAAATACAAAAAAGATTCTTTTAACAAACTGCTAATAAAAATGTATAAAAAGGTAGAATAACAAATAAAACAATGATTCAAATAAGCTGCTAATTCAGAATGTACCAAAATATTGAAAATGTGACTCAATTAACCAGAATTACTGTAAATTAATCGCTCTTATTACCAAGACACAGTTCATAGAGACAGTTTATATAAAGTAAAGATATTTAGTAGAAAAAAAATGCTGCTGATGCTTTTCAGGTTGTGGAACTTGGATTGGTGATAGTGTAGTTCAATTTCAATAGTCTGTAAGGAAAATGTCTATATAAATTACAATCAGGACATTAAAAGAAAGCTAAATATTCATTAAAGGTTATTTTGATCAATAAAAAGTTTCTTCATCTTTATTGTTATCAGAGAAAGAAAGATGAGCATTTAGCCAACAATTAAATCAAAGCTAGCAGCTTGGTGCTAAGGTATACATCAATAACAAATACTAGAATGAAATTCTTCATTGTAATTGACAATTTCAGTAATTTTACAAAACGTAATCAAATAGTTCACCCTCATTAGAAAGAGAGAGTTACATATTCACAAATGTTTTTTTCAATACTATAAAATAGAAACAAAATGGATTCTGCAGGATTTTCTATTTCAAGACAAAAATTGTTAAAAGTAGTTGCTACTCATTTAGTTAGATTTGTTTTTTAATAAGGTGTATAAAAGTGAATAATACCATTACTAAAATATAAACATTAATAAATAGAAATGAATTATAAAATTAAATTAAATATTTTAAAAAATGGTGAGCTCCAACAAAATAAAAAAGATTCTCAATAACACAATGTCATTTTTTTTATATATCAACTAATGAAATAAAAACCAAAAAGCAAGTGTCAAGAACTAAAACCCAATAGTCCAGACTTTGATTCAAGGCTTTCAAGCATGTAAATAGATTTACACACATACATACATACATTTGTTGCTATTGTGTAGATGGTACTAATTTGTTACAGTACCTAATAAAATTATCCATTTTAAACTAGTCCTTCTGCAATTATGTAACCCTCTGACACATATTAAAACATCATAGTGCACTACAACATATTCTTTGAGTTGCAGACTAAAGCATATAAACAGTCATAATAGAAAGTCACAAGAGAGATTATCATTTTTAAAAATATCTAATCAGTTGCTTTATTAACATTTGAGATTGTATTTCTACAATGCAAATTAAGTATAGTAAATGTGATAAAAAAAATTTAAATATTGTTTACAATTGGTAATCTTTAGATAACCAAATCTCTACTGAGTTCATTCGTTTCAGCCTGGCATTTTATAGAAAAGCTAAAAATGACGCTGTAAGTACAAAACAAATTTGCCGATAAATTGGTAAATTTGCAATTGTGTCCCAAATTAAGATAGAGTATCTTATTTTTCGGAAAAAATAGTTATCTTTAAAAAATGGAAACAGCATTTTTCAAATTCTGTCAGAAGCCACTTAAAATAAAAGAAAACTTTTGAAATATAAAGATTTAACTTGTGCATACTCTAGCTAAGTAATTAAAATGAAAAGCATGTTTTACATAAACCAAAGTTTATAATAAAAATTGCCCTAGCATTAAATCAGCATTCCAAAGGTAAAAACTACATATATATATATATATATAATAGGCAAAGCATAAGCATAAAAGCAAAGGGTTGTCGAAACCTCATGCTAAGATGTATAGCTATGATTTCTGTGATCCTCTTTTTCAATTAAATTAACATCCTCTTCTATCACGCTGCCATCTGAAAGTGCTTCTTCAGAGGTCTTGGACAGATTATAGCCCACACCATACAACAAGTAAATGGACATGCCTGGAATCAAACAAAGGTCATTTACAGGGAAAAGCAAGGAAAGTTCATAAAAGATGAAAAAACAAAATTTACTGGAGAAATCTGGGGGATATACTGAGTGAGAATCAAAAAGATCTTTACCAAGAACAGCTTGGACAGATAGTAACAAATGATTACAAAACACACACACACACAAAAACAGGCCAGTCTTAAGAAATGGCAGGGTTCATCTAATTCAAGACCTTCTCAAACTGTGTTGCAACAAAAGAAAATGAAGTCACTATTAGGTATCTTGAATTCTAGTTTTTAAAAGAATGAAGCCAGACTTTAGGGTTAAAAAGAAATCAAAATGACTTAAAAAAAAAAAAGTGGTGCAAAGATTTGCATTGTGTTTTTACTAGACAAATGTTGAAGAAGGTAGATCTCTAATAATTAGGATGGCCACAATGCCTTTTAGTTAGGGAATTCTACACACATGTATAAGGCAAATGGTGGTGGAATTAAGGATAAAAAGTAGTTAGTACGTTATTAGTGTTAGGAAGAAATACAAACATTCTAGATGAAACAAGAAAAAAATGCTCAGGAAAAAAGTTTGATTAAAATGTAAACTAACAGAATCAAATTATTTCTGTGTAATTTAAACATATGCATATTTATTTAACAAAATGTATGTTCCTTCTATCTCATAAAAATAAAGGAATCCTTGCTGGAAGCACAGTACAGATACATTTTATTTTTTTAATATTTTTTTTAAATTAAAAATAAATGATAATAATTATTTAGTATGTTTAGTAATGCATTAATAGGTTTTCTATACATAGAGATAACAAAAGTATTTGAAAAAAAAAAAGTAAGCTCATGCAATATTAATAGTTATATGACATAGAATCTAAGCTAGGGATACAAAGTTCAAAGCTAAACACATCCAAAGGACACGAAAGACACACTAACCTATGGCCATCCAAACACCAAATCGAACCCATGTCATGGGTGATAGCTTGAGCATGAGGTAAATATTGACTAGAACACTCAATGATGGTAACAATGGCACTAGAGGAACCTGTGAAATATCAAGCACAAACAAACTTTATTTTTTAAAAAAAACCATCTACTGATAAAACATCATCAAAATTTTAGAAATTCAATAAATATACAGAGTAACATCTCACACATTTTTCATTTATTCACCTTAATTCAGGTAAACTTTTTTAGTGTGATTTAATGGTTTTTGGATCTAGTTGATTCATGTTAATGAAATATGTTTTTAACACAAGAGATGTCTAAAACACAGATTGCGCACTAGTTTATTCCAAAAAAAAAAAAATTAATAATAACAAAATACACTTAAGCAATGCTTATATACTAAATCCACAATAAAAGGAAAAATAGTATAAGTAATCCAGTGATAACATTACATGCACACATTTGCACACAAAAACTGAAATGTTTAATTATGTCAGTGACAAAAATAAGTAAAAACAACGACTTCTAGCATATGTGAAAAAACAAAACTGTTTCACTATTACAAGTCTATGTTGGCAAGTTAATAGCTTACAGGGGATATTTTGTGAGGTTTTCTTTTTGTTACCTTAAATGCTAAAGTTGCCTCGCTCTGAGGCTGGCACTGTAGAATGATGACACACATTGCAGGCAAGAGAGCTAACAGAGTTGCAATAATAATGGCCCAGGTTTCCATTTGCTCAAGGTAATCTGAACCAAATATGGCAAATGCAGCAAAGAAAATTACAAATAAACCTGTAATTAAAATATTTTTTATATTACATTTTAAAAAATCAATAGTATAGTAAGCATATTTTACTAATCAATAATGAAATATCTCTTTCAAAACTTTTTTGGTTGTTTCACTTAATACAATCATGTTCTGATATGTCTAGAGGTTCCCAAAAAGATAGTGAATCTTTAAATAAAAAATCTCTGTATCACAAATGTTATGATCAATTCTCAACG